TACACACTGAGCATCTTTAACTCACTGATAAATGTATTTGTCCATTGCATGTTATTGTGTCTTCTCCAGATAGTTCATGATTTCTTCCTGCATCCCATAGACTGTCAATATGCTTGTGGAAAAAAATGAAACAAGACTTATATTAGGAAAATAATAGACACTGTAATGGTACAATTAATTCCATCATGACATCCATCTCAAAAAATAATGATTATATCACTATCTTGAACTATAACAAAGTAGTACATGATATTATTTCCAAGGGTATGTTCTTATGTTTACATAAGATAGGGTACCTCTACATGTAAGTAGAAGAAGATGTTTTGTAAACAACCTACTATCATGATACATATGTAAGTTATTCACATAGTTCAAATAAAGATGTTTATATGGCTCAGTAATAAAAAATAAACAGCAAACCACAATCTACAACTTTCATGCATTGATGCTAGATAATTACCTTAGCAAACTGGAAAAAACCGTCTGCACACTGAGTATATTTCAATCTCCACAAAATCGTTATGACTGTTTTTTTTGCTGATAAGCATTTCCCTTGAAGACAAAAACAATTTACATGGACATCAGTCATCAGTGGTGAAAGATAAAATCACCTCAAATAAATTAAAATATAAACTAGACGCTCTGGGAGCGTGAAGTCGGACTAGCTGCTTGTGAAAATTGAGAAAGACAGGATATTACATGGATAAAAATATTTCTTAACTTTTTTTTCCAAAACAGCCGAACTCACGGTCTAATAAGAGCGTCTAGTTCAAAATATGCAAAATTTATTGAGACTTTAAATAAACTTGACCTAAAAGGTCATGTAATTAATGCAATAAGAACATGGCTTGCTTTGAGTRATACAATCAACCACGCTCAGACAAATGTCTCGCTAAGTGATAAACGTTGACCTCTCAGGCAAAGAAAATAAAAACTTTACAAGGAAAAAGATGCCTATAAAATCATTAAATTCGCCTTTCTGTTATTGATAAACAAAGTTTCTTCTTGTTCTAATTTGAAATCTTTGCCCCCACAAGACTGTCTAACACTAGAAAGGATATTGATTCAGTTTTGTAAGCATACAACTCGAAACTCTATGCGATCTGCACATGYGTGTACTTCTAATGCCTAGACAGACGCATTCCGATGTGATCACAGATATCACATTTGTAAACGAATAGTTTTTTTGTCATATAAAAGCCAAGTAGCATATAACATTTACTAACGATATTSGTACATCAATACGCTTGAGCTTCCGGTCATGTAATAACACAGCCAACCCAATAGTTAATYATTAAATTCTTAACTTCCGGTGGTCCAAACGCGACATAATACATAGATAGATAGGCTAAAAGGTAAATTTAAAGTCAGACCGCCTTCGGCTAGTCCGACTAATAAACATAACATAACATTTGTTGCTACAGGTTCCCTGTGTGCGCATTTGGGATTCCTGTGTGGAGTGAGCGCCCACTCAGTCTGGGAAAGGCCCACTGTCTTGTTATCTACTTTGACTTCTACTACGAGTGAATGTATGAGTTTTTTCTAGTTTTAGTGATTRCTGGACAAATAAARTARCATCAGACAAGAGTTTGCCTTTCCATCTGGGTTGTGRCCCCGATGGCAGCCACAACATTGTCATTTTTAATTAAGAATTGTTTGAGATGTAGATTTCATGATGATAGTGTAGAGTTCAGAGACTGATCCCAAACCAGAATGATGAAACAGTGGTTTGTGTGATATATAAACATGAAGAGAAACAGAGAGCACTGAACAAGAAGMAAAAAGTGAGCACTGCTCTTGTGTTTTCCCCTGTGTTTATATCAGAACACTGAGATGTGTGTGATACCACAACCTTAATAAAGCTAATAATCAATACCTTTAATTAGAGAAGGAGATAGTTATTAATTAATTCAAAAAACAATTGCAAGGCATCTAGATTAATTTATCTTTTGCAATTGCTGCATTGAAATATGTTTATGTCCTGAAATAATAAAAATTCATGCACACACTTATCCAGCAACAAGTGTAGTTTCAATGCATGAAAACATATCATGTTTTATAAGTTTGATGTCAACATAACCAACCTTTTGCTCTTATTATAGCATCTTTATATAAAGCTTTTGAAAAACCTTCAACTTGACCACCCTAGAATAAAAATTAACCATCACTTTTGAAGATAAACTCCAAAAAACCCGTTTGATCACGAAATGACATGATTCTGAAATTATTACGGGAAGAGAATATTTTGCACTTCTTGAGAGTGTTTGAAATAGATTTCTTGGACAAAAAGAAACACAAAATGTATCTGGATAATTACCTTTGTAAATGTCATCGTCAGTTTACCAGGTTCTGGTATGGAATCTACGAAATGAGGAAAGAAAAGTAGGACACAACAAACCAACAATCTGAAAGCCGCCATGTTGGATTTGTTTTCGATTTCAAGTGCGCGTGCGCACTAAAGTGCTAGACGTGGAACATGACATCATCTTCACTAAGTTTTAGGGAGGGAGGGAGGTTGGAAACGTTTGGACTTCACCCTGCCTCAGTCTATGCTCATCCCAATAACTTTCCATCTGAGTTTTTACAATTGTCTTGAAACAGATAATAAATTTATTTTTGTTTTGGGTTGGGGTAAAACTATTTTTCATGGGGACGTTCTCTCATTTCCCTAATAATTGGGTTTCCTGTCCTGCGCACTCTGGTCCGTCTTGGTGACGCGAACATGTGTTATGATCGTGAATGGCTTTGTTCATGCTGTAGCCAGGCTCTGTCTGAACCTTTCTCTCCGTTAATCTCAGTTCATGATGGAAAGTCACATTCAGGCTGAAGCTGCAGGAATTGAGGCTTTAGTCAAGACTTCTGAAGTACAACCTCCCCCTCCAGCGCCAACGCAAGTTGAAATCGAAGCAGTAGTTGAAACGTCTGAAAATGTAGAAACTCCTATAGCGACCACTGAGACGACCACCACGACTACTCCAAGCTCTTTGAAACGTAAAAGAACCGAACTGACACTTGGGGATAAAGTCAAATTAATCGAAGAGAGTTGTGTCAGTGGGAAAAGTCATCGATATTTGGCCGGCGTGTTCAATATAGGCAAAACTACCGTTCATGATATACTGAAAAAGAAAGATCGAATTTTATCAGCCTACAAGAACGGCCTCGATGGCCGAAGTCGTAAGCGAATTCGAGTTCGACTGGGCAACGACGATATCAACAGACTCACGTGGCACTGGTATGAACACAAGAAAGCACAATGTCTCCCAGTACAGGGGCCAGTTGTTCAAGCGAAAGCAAGGGAATTCGCTGAAGAATTCGACGCCAAGGAGTTTAAAGCATCGAACGGGTGGCTCGAAAGGTTCAAAAAGCGATATAATCTCCATTTTGGGTCTCACGAGTCTTTCACGTTGAAAGATGACAAGCCGTGGAAGGAAAATATCATGGCTGTAACGGATGGTTATCGTCCTGAAGATGTGTTTACACTTCAAGAAGTTGGGCTGCTTTTTCGAGCTCCCCCCGAYAAAGCATATTTTRACAGTGTAGGWTGTTCACTTSAAGAAATCAAGGCAAGCGCTAGTGAGAGATTAACTGTATTGCTATGTTGTAATATGACTGGGGAATTTCACAATCCCGTCGTGGTAGGGAAATTGCCTCCAAACCCGTCGTTGAAACAGGCCTCGGTAACATGGAGATCAAACAGAAGATCCTGGATGACTAGCATGATCTTCGACAAATGGTTGCGAGAGTTTGATTCTAAACTTAAGAGCGAAGATCGTCATATTGTTATTTTTCTTGACCTCACAACATCACATCCACCACACTCTCAGCTGTCTAACATTAAGCTTRTATTTTTCCCACAAGGAAAGTCCCAAGAAATCCATCCTCACAATCTTGGTATCACTGATGCAATTCGTTATAGCTACAGAAAGAAACTTTTGCTAYATGTGATAAACAATCTTCAGGAATCCAAACGACCACAAGATGGTCAGACTCAGACAGTCTTCCAGGAAATCCAGGAAGAGCAAGCATGTAAGTGGTTAGCTGAAGCCATTGATGAAATCCCTACCTGTACACTAGCAAAAAGTTTTGAATCAGCTGGATTTCACAACGTCTCCTCATCAGATTCTCTTTCATCATACTCAATGGCTTTTACAGCCCTAAATGGTGATGAAGCCACACCAAACAGCAGTGGTGAATTATACACTGTTTACTTACAAGACAATGTCCCAAACAATGTTGCTGACGTCAGCAAAGCAGTCAATGAAACAGAGATCCAGCTTCTTCTTACAACAGTTCTTTGTAAACTTGATATAAATCAACCAATGTCAGCCAAAGAGTACATCTTTTTTGATTCATCTCTACAGCATGCAGATGATTTATCAGATGGATGGGAGGAGAGACTGATTGAAGATTTTGGGGATAATCACGATGACACTCCACTTAAAACAGAGACAGAACCTCCACGTCCACAGAGTTCTACATGTACTCCTGTAACACCTCGAACTGATACTACAAAGGTTGTTTGTTCTTACTTAGATGCAATTCAGGTAAACAAGCATCTGATTTCATTTGCGCAGGATAAAAATGACAAAGAACTGCTAGAACTGCTTTTACATCTTGAAAGTAAACTATCATCTCGAAGGCTTGTTAACAACTATCAAGAAGCAATTGCACTGAACCATCACCTTATTGGGTTTGCTAAAGAAGAAAAGAATAAAGACTTGGCCAATTTACTTCTGAATGTTGACAAGAAATTACAGGCTGCCCAAGACAAACATTGAAATGAAAACAATAGGGTCTGACATTGGTAGAGGTCTGTATGACTAAATCAATGACATGTTAAGGCCACTAAGGTTTATTGTCAGATCTTTATTGATATACAGAATTATCTTACTAAAAATAACAAATGATCTTGTCTAATTATTATGTGTAAAAATAAAAATACATAAATTTACATAAATTGTAAATAGTAAAAGCCCTTTTTTTGGACAATGTTTGTGTAATTAGGTGTATACATACATGTAAAGGGGTGACAAATGGTATACCTTCAAACAATTTTAAAAAAAATCGCTTTTCATTCTATCTTATCCGTCTTGGAGTCAATAATTCTCCACAAACTACAGTCCTTAGTGTCTCTAATACAGTCCAACACTGATTTTTCATATGTATTATGTATTTCAGTCTAAAGCATGATTGAGTGCAAGTATCACAAAATGCATGATTAATTTTGATGCATAATTAATGTATTTCTTTTTATTATTATTTATGTCTCATTCTCAGAAACATAATAAAAAAGTTGTGGTGTTGGGTTTTGGAATACAGGTTCAAACACTATTGGCTAGTAAATAAACCTAACAGAATCTCAATCTTTATACCTCGGTCTCGCTATTTTTGGAGAATGTTGGAGGACAATAAACAGGGTCAGGAATTTAGACCGCTGGGGGTACCCCCCCGGGGTACTGGTCACCCTGCCCCCACCATCAACGCTGGCATGTCAGAGAGACTTCCCGTTGGTATGATGATCATTGGTAAAATGTTTGATGACTCTACTGTGCTCAATGTGGCCTACGCCTACGAACAGTTATGAGATAAGCATTGAAACAATCAGCTTACAGGATCAGGCAACAAAAAAAATGGAAAAAGGAAAAATTATATTTAGTAGAATAAAGACTGACTTACAAAAAAATATGAATGTGCTGTTGTAGAAAATCACGATGAAGGCATCCCTGCACACTGTCAGAATTACCAATTTGCAACCATATTGCATGCTGGATGAAAGTAACATTTATAAAGTAACAATTGTGACTTTATAAATGTTACTTTCATCCAGCATGCCATATCAAATGACATATGTATTGCCATGCAAGGGGAATATTCGGACAACACTATAGAATTTTACTAAGTTAGCCAGCCCTATAGTTCATCCACTCTTTATTACCAATGAGAAACAGCATACAGCAATCCAAACTATTCTCGTACCCAGACCCTTTTCCCTAAGATTTCAAGAACGTTCTGTTACTGAGTCTTCGTCTCGTTGATTAGAGTTGTGCACACTGTTTATTATTGTCAAGAATCGGCGAGATGGATGAAGGCAAGTATGCCACGTTTTGTAATTATTTCAAAATGCCCTATGGTAAAGAGTAAGTTAAGTAATATACTTTGTCATGTCATACTGCAAGCTGGCGAAAACTTCAACTGTCTGAGCTTAGTCGTGTATGACGGTAGTCTCTTCATTTGAGAGCAAGTGTTTATATGCTCGGGCCAGGGAAATAGACTTAAAATTACTAAAAAAAATTCCGTGGCTAGACCTAGGATTAGGCATGGATTTAACTTGGGTTAGCTGTCTCGACTGCAAATGTAGCCTGCGTTACATCCGATTTTATTTTACAATTCCGGTATTATTTATTTTATTTAAGCAAATAAAACCGAATGTAACGCAGGCTAATAAATTGTATAGCACATCATCAAAATCATCGTCAGAAATAGACAGAAATTAAACTGAAACGTTACTGCAGTAAAAATAGAACGATGAAAGTAAGCAGCACTTGTATTGTGTGAACCCTTTTGGGTGTGCATCTGAAAAAATGAATTGGATTTGGGGGCACTGTAAGAATAGGTGTATTTTAGTAGTTTATTTGGATGATGAAGGATTATAGTCTTGGACTATTAATGCACTTAAAATCACCTGTGAGTGATATAATTATTAGACTTTATTATGATAAAGTCAAAAATTGTCRTGTGAATTACCAAAACCAATGAAACCAATGACATTATTGACCTATGCTTTTTAAATGAATATATTGTAAAATTAACCACAACATGCTGTCGGTAATCAAACAGATCCCCTATATATAGAGATCCTATACATGACTGTTTGTTGATTTGCCTTTGATTGACATGTTAGATGAAAGCTACAGGCATCCTGCAGTCCATCCACCAAGTCTACATCGTGTTGCTGAAATTGCCAAAAGCTTGAATCTTGATTTGTCAGATGAAGAACTCAAACAGTACACAGGTCAGTGAGAATTACCACATATTTTACAGTTANACTCACCAACATGAAGAATGGCATCAAAATGTCCTTGTTGTGTTTCTTCTTGAAGGAATGGCACTGATCTGGCATTTTTGTTCCCCATATCACCAAACAATGCCAGTCGAGGACTCCAATTAGCACCAGCTGGTCTGACAGTGAAGGAAAAGACTGGACTCCAACCACCTGACCCTCCACAGTGATAGTCTACAACAACAACAATATCCATTAATGATTGATTGTATAGGCAGGGTTTTAAATAATACTAGACGCCCCTGGGTCGTGAAGTCGGACTAGCTATAATGATATGGTTATATTATGAATGCAAATGAAACTTGAGAAAAACAGGAGGATATTACATAAAATATAAAAATTAGATTAAAATATATATTTTCTCTATAAGAAGGCAGCCTCTACTGAAAGTTATCCGCTCTACAGTTTAATACCTTAAGCCTAAATCAACTAGATATAACTTAAGATACTCTGCAGCAGCTAAACCTAAAATATATACTTCTCGATTTATGAACACTTTTTTCAACAGATTACTATTTAAATATGATGTCAGTAAGTTGTAACTTTCACTTTTTTCTAACTGAAGAATGTAATTTAAGAAGTGTACGTTCTTCTTATCATCAATAAAGTCATATTATTTCTTAATTTTTCTCCAAAATAGCCGAACTCACAGCCTAATAAGAGCGTCTAGTTCAAAATATCCAAACTCTCTTGAGACTWAAATAAACTTGACCTAAAAGGTCATGTAATTAATATAGCAATGAACGTTTTAAAAGAGTCCTTGCTTTCATTGATAAAATCAAACGTGCTATGTAGACACTGTCTACATAGTGTCACTTGGCAAGTGACGCTAAGTGATAACGTTGACCTCTCAGGCCAAGAAAATACTTAAAAAAGTAAATAATAATAAACTTTATTACAGTCATTGCAAAGAAATACGACTATATTACAAATGTAAATATATATAATATATGATAAACTCTAAAATATGTACATTATGCTCAGAAATATGAAAATCGTTTACAAAATCAGTACAGCAAAAAAGATTCTTATAAGCATTTGCAACCCCGGACTAAAAAAGATTGTTCATGTCTCTTAGTTTTCGATAAAGGAACTCTTATTTTGGACACTGACCTCAGATTGTATTTAGAACCTGTATTAAATTGTAAGAAATGCCTGAACGGGTGCTCTACATCATTAATAATGTTAGTAAATTGTTTTTTAGTATGTTGTTGTCTCCGAGAAGCTAAACTGTCTAGATTGTCTTTTGGTAGGCCTATGATCTTTAAACATCTATGTTGTACTCTTTCAAGATCATCAATCAGGTAGTCTGGGAGAGAGTCCCAAATTGTTGATGCGTGTTCTAGGAGAGGTCTTATCTTAGTTGCATATATAGTTAGGCCTACATCCTTTGGTAGATTAGCTTTCCTGCATACCCTCAGACAGTGGATCCTCTTGTTAGCCCGAGTGATTAATTCACTAACATGAGAGTTCCATTTCAGGTTATTTTGAACCGTGACGCCAAGCAGTTTGAATTCTTCTACTCTCTCAAGTTCCCTGTCGTTGATGTTGACTGGATCAGGAGCAGCACATGATTTTTTGAAACTGATCCACATATCTTTAGTTTTAAGTGCATTGAGTTGCATCTTGTTGTTGGAAGCCCATAGCTGCAGATGGTTTACAGCTTCTTGAATTTGACTCTTATCCGTAACAAGTTGATACTGTGTACAATCATCGGCGTATTTACATGTAGTCAGAGGCAGMTCAGGAGGAATGTTTTCTTCAATGTCATCGATGTGAATATTAAAGAGTGTTGGAGAGATAACCCCGCCMTGAGGGACTCCTGCGATTACTGGGCCAGTACTTGACAGAGCACCTGCTAGTTTGACTTGCTGAGTTCTGTCTGTTAGGAAGCTTCGAGTCCATTTCCAAAATATATTGTAAAATTAACCACAACATGCTGTCGGTAATCAAACAGATCCCCTATATATAGAGATCCTATACATGACTGTTTGTTGATTTGCCTTTGATTGACATGTTAGATGAAAGCTACAGGCATCCTGCAGTCCATCCACCAAGTCTACATCGTGTTGCTGAAATTGCCAAAAGCTTGAATCTTGATTTGTCAGATGAAGAACTCAAACAGTACACAGGTCAGTGAGAATTACCACATATTTTACAGTTAACAATTAAAACATATAGACCTGTTAATGTTTTCATCCTTATTAGGTRTTGATCATTGCCTTWARCACTGGGGGGAGGGGTCATATGGATCCCCCCATTTTTAAAATGAATCGGTTTAAATGMAGACAAAGAAGATCTTTGAATGGGGTTAAGTGTTTAATCCAGCCCTAATCTGACCATGATCTGACCCTAACAATTTCCTAATCAGACCCTAATCAATAACACCATGCCCAACCTCACATTGATGGCAGTCAAAGTACAGGACTATATTGATTGATTTGTTTCAGATGCGATGGCAGCAGCCACAGCCAATCACAAAAAACTCTATGATTTAGTGGAGCCCAAGCTTCCGGTAAAATATCCGCGCACRCCTGGGTACAAGCCGCAGAAGCAYGAAAACCYGCTTAAYGCATGGTATGCTTTAAATAGATTGTATTGTCACTATGGTGTCAAAATAAATAAATAAAACCGAAATTAAAACATCTTAGAATAAAACATAGTATTTCRACATACTATCAATTTAATTAAATTTACAATTCACAATGTTGTTTTTATAACTTGGTTGCGTGGTGTCAGGTACTGGAAATGTGACATCAGTGGAGCGTCCAGTGGAAAACTCTATGGTAAAACCATAGCCATAAAAGATAGCATCCCCGTGGCTGGTGTTCCTATGATGAATGGATCTTTGATKCTAGAAGGTTTCATCCCAGATATCGATGCCACTATTGTAACGCGAGTACTTGAACAAGGGGGACAGATACTTGGAAAAGCAACTTGTGAGAGTCTCTGTTGTAGTTGTGCAGGTTTTACCTCAGCTACTGGTCCAGTGCTAAATCCAGTTGATCCAAGTAGAATGTGTGGAGGATCTTCTACAGGGTGTGGTTCATTGGTAAATATCATGTGATGTCATTGATTGGACACGTGGTCCGTTGGATTTTTACATCATGTCTTGTTATCATCAATCATAAGTTGTTGTAAATGCATCCTGATAGGTTCTCATTAACAAACTCACATATTTATTTTCAAATAGGTTGCTAACAGTGAAGTTGACATGGCTCTTGGAGGTGATCAGGGAGGATCCATACGTATACCAGCAGCTACTTGTGGAATTGTGGGATTGAAGCCAACATATGGACTAGTACCTTATACAGGGATTTCATCGATAGATTTGACACTGGATCATACAGGACCAATGGCAAGGACAGTTTATGATACAGCATTATTATTAGAGGTAAGATGGTCAAGTTGCTGCTCTGGCAATGGTCTGTATGGTGTGAATCGTTCCTGATTGTTTCTTTTTTGGCTTGATGTGCAATTTCAAATAGGTCACCATAATCATTTAACTCATTACTAAGTGACTTAATGCATCGCTATATCACCAAAGGCTAATATATAATTCTGTGTTCCACAGTCAATTGCAGGTTTGGATGGAGAGGGTTTAGATCCAAGGCAACCCACTGAATTAAAAGTACCAGAGTATGCAAAACAGGTTTGTCAATCATGTGTCTGCTATTCCCGTAGCCAAGGGATTAGGGTACACCAACAAGCACCTACAAATACAAAAGGTCCGCTTAGAGGAGAACAAGGTACGAGACTCATTTGAGGAGCACCAGCCTATTTCAAGTTCCTCTAGCAACAAACATTTGAAAAGATTTCTCTGCTCCTCCAGCACAAATCGCTGCATTTACAGGAATTTCCTCAGGGAGGGGTGCAGGGCTCTCAAAAATCATTACCAAGAAGATATAAGGAAAGTATTGAAGGATGCAAATCTCAGGAGGGGGTGCACCAAGAAGATATAAGGAAAGTATTGAAGGATACA